TGTTGATTTTTAAGAAAGTTGTTTTTGAAGCGGTCAAGCATTTTAAAGGGTTAATGAGTAAGTGAGGGAGCAGTACAGAGGAAAGAACCCTTGACTGGGAACCAGAGAACCTGAGTTCCAGCTTGGTCCCGCTGTTAGGTAGCCATACGACTTATTAACCCCTATTAAGCTATTTCCTAGTCTTCAAAATTCTATAAAATCCCTTCTGACTCTCACTTTCAAAGATTCAAGCAAGCTATCTGTGTGCCTAAACTATACGGAAATAGTGAGCTACAAACTGGATATAGGTCAATTTCACTACTTGTGAAACTTGTGTAAAAGCGAGGCACTTTCCAAGTGTTTCCTAATATAGAATAATTCAGACTATATTCTTCAAGTATTTTCTCCACGCAAACCTTCTTCCACCCTCCTCCCACCCCCAGTCTACTAGTCTTTACTTTTAAAAACAGAGCTAAGATAGTATTCCTAGTTTATCCAGCAACTTGTTCTACTGCTTGAAATCAGAGGGTGCCACCAAAAGCCTTTTTTGTTCATTGAAATCTGTTGGGTAGCATTATCAACCAATCCCCAAATCATGGCTTTCCAGCCACGTGTGATCATATACTCGTACAGGAACACTGTCTGAAACTCAAATGTCTCCTATCACATGCTCCCCAAATTAAACCAGAAATATGTTATTCAAGAAGAACCCAGATGCACTGAAGACAGAACATTTGCTTTATTTGGGGGCCTTGAATCTATTGGGATCCCATAGTAATACAAACTCAAGAGTCACTGAAATGTTAAAGACTACAGATCTTTTGGTTGGGTTCAGGCACATGGTCTAGTGATATGTTAGTATAGGTGTGAAATAGTTTGGCTGAATCCTATGATTAAACACAATGCCTTATTTTAAGACGCACACAACATGCACCCACACATACACACACACTGGGATAGGATAACTTTCTCTGAGACACCAGTAAATTTTCCTGGAGTTCTCAACCCTTGCCTTTCCTCCAAAGAGGGTGGCCTGTTCTTTCTCAAGAATTCTTGCTTCCACTTAATTCCAAATGGATATTGTAGAAAATAAAGGAAAAATTTAAACTTTGTTTCTGAAAGAACTTATACAACTCAGCTCTGAATTCAGTGGAGAAAAGGAGAAGAAAAGGACAATTATCGTCTATTGTGCACCTGCTATATGCCAAACATGTTCACATACATTACCTCACTAAGCCTGACAATAATACTTTGTAGTAAATTTAGCTTTGGTGTTAGAGATAAGAAAAATGAGGCTCAGAGAAGTTAAGCTATCCTCTCAAGGTCAAATGGCAAGTTATAAAACTAGGATTGAAACAAGAGCTGAAACAAGACTCCAAAGCTCAAGCATTTTCTACTCTACTATGCAGTTAGTTCAGTCTAGTGAAAAATGCACTCTCGAAAATGTCTTAGCATTTTAGGCATAAAAGAGTATTTGTTACAATTCACTAGAGCCTACAAATTCTGTTGTATCTGCACTGAATCCTATAAAAAAAGAGAAAAAAAGAAAAACAAACAAAAACACCCCAAAAACATCACACACTCTTAGTTCCTCTCCCAACTGAAATTCAGCAGTGAGGACAGTTACTGAGTCATGTTCACAGAAAGCTGTCCTTGGATTCTGTTATTGAGCTCACACCCCCATTCTTGACTTCCCAAGTGGCACTGAGAAAGAGAGAAGGAAATGTAAGAAAGTATAAGATGGGATCCTCTGACACCATGGTGGAAATTAGCACATTTCCCAGAAGACCAAGATAAAAATGCATGTGAGAAGAACAAGGGAACCAAACAGATGGGGCAATAAAATGGAGGCGGAATGAGCTCATCAGGATTTCCAGCACACGGCTGAAGTCCATACTGGGCTCTCAGCTGACCTGGGAGCCAGGAGACATAGTGAATGAGTGGGTGGTTACTATGCTGCAGCATCAGTTACACTAAGAGATTAGGTGGAGCTGATTCACTGCAGCAGATCTGCACGACTTTTCAAGTGGAGGAAAATCTGTGGGCCCTGGTCTCTGCCACTCACATAACCATCCTTATGGATAGCATGAGTCAGATATGTAGGATCCTTCAGGTAGACAATGTGGTTGTGCTGTGAGTAAACCAAGGACAAGCTTTCATGTCGTCGAGAGCAGGTTTCAACCACAGCTGGAGCATATCTTTGTGTGAAGGTTTACCTGCTGTACACACAAATACCCCACTTTCCCAAACTCATCATTGGCTACAGGTGGTTCATAACACAAACAGGTCAAGGCTCCGGAATGTTCATCACACTGAACAGTGATTCTTTTTCAAACTATCAGCTCTTGAGCATAGCCAGAAGGGTTTTTGGAGAATCTAGCCTAACCCCCTTGTGTTATAGACAGGAAACTGAGGTCCAGGAAAGAGAAATGACTCGCCCCAAACCACTTAGCTAGTGACAGAGTTGGCATTAGGACTCGGTCCCTCTCTTTCTAAGCCAGCAGACTTTCCCACTGCACCAGAAAAACAGAATCAAACCCTAAATAGCCTATAATACCCTTGTGAGCTAAGCCCTCTAATTATACTGCCTCCAAAGGAAATAACATCTTAAATGCCTCCGTCTCTCCATCTTTGGCAATTTCACTGACCATTTCTCATATTGCAATCTCTTTTCAGAAACTTAAGAGTAATTATTTTGGGATATATGCTTTGTTATTTTCATGTCTCCTTATACACTGCTTTCTTTGTTCAGGAGAAAATTAGAATTCTGGAAATACACTTGATTTTATTTAATTATTAAAGGAACAAGCATCTATTTCAAGTAGTTGCAAATATAAATGTATCAGGCTGTGTCTAGAATGGATATATGGAACAATATAGGCTATGTTACTCTATTTTCACATTCAATTAAGATCCACCTAGGCCTCAGGAGAAAAACAAAAACAAACAACAACAACAACAACAACAACAACAACAACAAAAACCCATCAGACCTATGAGTGAAAGCTGAAAAGTGAAATCCTTATCTGGGTAATTCTGGACATGTTTGGATTTGGTGCCTTACGGAATCATCTAAAATGTAATTATCTTATAGCATGCTTTGCAACCTTACCGCCTTCATCATTGCAATTTGCGTATATAGGGGCTCACTGGAACTTTTGGAGTTTTCAAGGAGCTGAAGTAAGGATGTAGGAGGAATGGGCCTGTTCAAGGTCATATTTACTTTGTGAAGCTGACACCCCCTGGTGATGCGGACCCACAGTGGCATTAGCCCATTACCCACTTCCCTCCATCCCCACCCCGTACCTTTCCTACCAACGAATATTCTTACCTGAACCACTTCCACTGTCCTCTGCTTTAGGTGTTGTATAGACCAGATTTTCTGTCTCTCATGTTTCTCCATGAAGAGATTTTCACGAATAGAACTTTTCTTGTAATTTACTTATATTGTCCTTGAAAACCCCATAAGTATTTACATAACAGAAGCTATTGTTTTAAGTGCAAAGCAGGTCAAAATTTGGTTTCTGGAGATTAATCACTGCAGTCTATTTTATATTATCATAATAATTTCATTTATTTTGACACAATTTGTTTTCAGAATCAACCTCAGCTTCTGTGCACAAGCGACAAATCCATTTGTTTCTGGTATAATGGATAATGTGATTAATGACCTTGCCACAGGAGTTCTTAAAAACACAGAGGGAAAAAAAAATAAAGTTTCCATTTATGATGTGCAGTAACCACCTCGGTCTGTAGCTGTGCATCAAAATCTCTCTGAACTCGTTGGCAAGCCACAGCCAAGATTCTGAAACAAATCTGCTCCCGCCTTTTGGGGTTTCTGTCCATATCTGGGCTCTCGGCCTCACACCGGGAAACTGGACCCGGGGGCAGTCGGCTTACGAGGGTGGGGCTCGGCTTTACTACGCGGTGCCATCGCGATGGCTGCACTCCGATGGGCCCACGGAGCCCAGGTCTTGCTGAGTGAGGCCACCGCCTGCTGGGCTGTCGCCGGCCCCAGCACGGGAGAGCACTGCGGGGGGCCTCGTGACGCCGGCTCCCGCGCCGTGGCCCCGGCGGAGGCGGTGTGCGCGCGAGGCTGTGCGGGCGCCCCCTACGCGCAGTCGGCGTCTGGCGCGCGTTTCCGGTCCCCGAGGACCTGAGAAGTCTTCCCACGGCGGCGGGCGGCGGGCGGCGGGCGGCGGGGGGGGGGGGGGCGGGGGAGGTGGACGTGCACGCGGCGGGCGGCCCGGAGGCGGCCGTCGTGCGTCTCCTTCCCGCCTTCAGGGCGAGGCGGCCGCGGCCCGGACGAGGAGGCCCGCGCGGCCCGCGGGGGGCTCTCGACGGCAGCCCGGGGTTCGAGTTCCTCCTGGGGCTCCTCCTCACTTTCCTCACAGGGGAAGTGGGGGTCCCTCCCCACGGGGGCGGCGGTGACCGCGGAGCGAGGCGTCGCGCCGAGCCGGAAGCTCAGAAGCCGGCCCGGGGAAGCTGCCGGCTTCTCTTCAGCCCGCGACGCCCGCGTCCTCGGGTGGGTCTGGGGGGCGCCTGGACACGCCAGCTAAGGCTCGCGAGGGCACCCGGGCGGCCTTTTTTTTCTTTTTTCTTTTTTTTTTTTTTTTACCTCAGTCCTCCTTTTCTGGGGGCCCCACAACCCCGCGCTAGCGCCCCCGACTCGGGCCCACACACGCGCCCGCCCGCTGAGAGAAGGCGCCCCCGCCCCGCCCCGTCGCTGACGCGCGCCCAGCCGGGCCAATCAGAGCTCGCGGCGCTGCGCCCCACGCGCCGGCTCCCCCCCCACCCCCAGCTTAAGAAAGGGCGCGCGGGCCGGGTCGGACCAGATCGCTGCGCCGGGCGGAGACAGCGAGTTACGTGAGGCAGGCGGTTCCGTTAGCTCCGGCGCTCAAGCTGCCCTCGAGCGGCGCGCCCGGCTGCAGCCCGCAGCAGAGGCGCCTCCGCGGAGCGCCCCGACGGCGCCCGCCCGCCTGCCTGCCCGCTGATGCTGGAGTGAGCGCTGCGGTGGCGGGATGCTGGTGCTGCTGGCCGCCGGCGTGGCGCTCGCCGTGGCCGCCGGCGCCCAAGACGGCCCGGCGCCCGGCAGCCGCTTCGTGTGCACGGCGCTGCCCCCGGAAGCGGCGCGCGCCGGCTGCCCGTTGCCCGCGATGCCCATGCAGGGCGGCGCGCTGAGCCCCGAGGAGGAGCTGCGGGCCGCGGTGCTGCAGCTGCGCGAGACCGTCGTGCAGCAGAAGGAGACGCTGGGCGCGCAGCGCGAGGCCATCCGCGAGCTCACGGGCAAGCTGGCGCGCTGCGAGGGGTTGACGGGCGGCAAGGCGCAGGGCCCGGCCGCTACAGGCAAGGACACTATGGGAGATCTGCCTCGGGACCCCGGCCACGTCGTGGAGCAGCTCAGCCGCTCGCTGCAGACCCTCAAGGACCGCCTGGAGAGCCTCGAGGTAGCCGAGCGCGGGGGGTTCTGGGGGGCGCGGGGTGGTGGTGGGGCGCGTGGTCCTGCCCGCCTGGCTGTGCGGGACACAGCGAGCTGGGCTTGGGGTCGGGGGGGTTGCTTCTCTGTCGGGCTCGCGAACTTACTTGCGGGGCTCGCATCCCGCCCCCCACCCCGCGTCTTGCTGGAAGGAAAGGGTTAACTCCCCCCGCGGGCCGGGACTGTCCGCCGAGTGGCCAGTCACTAACCGAGGTCCAGGTGAGCGGACCGGGACGGCCTCTTCTTTCTTGTAAATGTCCGAGTGCCCTGGGGCCGGACGCGCTCCCAGAGGCTGTGCCGGGTGACGTGCGGCTGCCGCGTGCGATCAGCTGCCCCGGGCATCCCGTGTTTCCTTTTATAAATCAGGTCGGGCTGGACCAGAGCGGGCGGAGACCCCAGGGTCTCGGCGGGGAGGCGAGCGCGGGCGGGTCCCGGGCCACACACCGGTTGGCGCCTCGGAGGAAACCTGGTTTTAACTTCAAAGAAGCTCTGTCCGCGAATTGTGCCAGTGCTAAGGTGCCCTTCCAGGCTGCTCTGGGGGAAGGGACCTTCTTCCGTTTCTCTCTTGGAGGGTGTATGCAGTTTGGAACTTGGCAAGAGAAATCCTCATTTAACTTCCATCTATGCTTTCGAACCCTATTTAAGAAGTGTGGACGTTCCTGTTAAAGACGTTTACCAGAATACTTATTAACAAAACTAGGTTTCAATTACAGGTGGTAATTATTGAAAAATTATTTGAGGATTTCCTGTGGCATGATGGCTAAATTCAGTATTTCCAGCATCTGTATATCCCTTGATTCATTATGATTAATAGCAGCTAACATTTCTAGTTTACTAAATATATACTAGGCGTATTCTCATTTTAACCCTTGCAACAGTCCTTTGAAGCAGATCCTCTTAACTGCATTTTACAATTTGGAATGCTTAGAAAGGGGGTAAATAGCTTGCCAAGGATTCATGGCTAGCCAGTGGCAGACTGCCTCCAGAGCCAGCATGATGGTAGAGGAGTAAGAGACATAGGAAGTGAGGATTTAGAAACAGCATTCAAAGCAAAGATTCCTGGAATTCAGAACTGTCATGTTTTAGGTCTCTCATTTTCCAGTAACATCTCTGCAAGCATAGTTATTCACCTTTGTGCCATGGGACTTGGGGGCTGTTTTCACTTATAGATGAAAGCTCATCTGCTTTGAGTACCATTTGGTTAACTTTTTTTTTTTTTTTTAATCTTCACTGTGTTGTGGCCTTTACCCAAGAATGGTAGATAGTGATTAAAATTTTGACTTTTTAGCAAGAGGAGGAAAATAGCTTTCTGAGAGAGGAAAATGAAATTCGTAAGTTTCAAATACTGCAGCAAGGTAATTCTTGTTTGACTTTGAAATCCTTTCCATACAAAAAAGAAAAAAGCATCCATGAAGTGCTCCCCTTTGTGCCATTGGCACGATTTAATACTCCCGTTTTGGAAGCTTCTCCCTGTGTGGTTGGGCTTTTAGAGCTACATTTCATAATTTCTTTTTAAATGGCCTTAATACTTCTCCCTCATGTGTCCCTCTCCCCATCTAAAAGCACCAGCTCCGAGTGAACGTGTCCAACGCAGTGCTGCCCAGCGACTTTCGAGAGGTGCTCCAGCGGCGACTGGGGGAGCTGGAGAGGCAGCTACTGAGCAAAGTGGCGGAGCTGGAGGATGAGAAGTCCCTGCTCCACAATGAGACCTCGGCTCATCGGCAGAAGACCGAGAATGCCCTGAATGCTCTGCTGCAGAGGGTGACTGAGCTGGAGCGAGGTGAGTTCTTGGCTAGCTTCTCTGTCGCCCTCTGGCTGACATCCCTCTCAGCACCCCCCTCCCACCCCATTGTCTTGGTGTTTGGCTGCAGTGTAAGGGAAGCTGGGCTCAGAGCAGGCAGAGGGGGGCTGGCCCACAGCCACCCACTTACAGACAGGCAGTCACTAGGGCCCTTGAGGGAGTGGTGACCTCAGCACCGGACTCTGCTTCTGTTTGCTGGGGTCGGCTCTGAGGCTGCTCTTGGGTCATCTCTGAACCTACCTGTCCTACATGCAGAAAACCACAGCACTCTTTACCAATCCCCAGCTCTCCACTTTCCCTTCTCTGTTTCTCAAATGAAGTGTTGCTCTTTCAACTTGAGGCATCTCTCCTGGTGCACAGGGGTTTAGGGTTTCTGCCTGACAGTTGCCCAACTTAACGGCCTTGTTGATACATCTTCCAACCTAGTGGAGACAGAAGGGGCCGATTGCTGCTGGGAGCAGCCTGGTTTCCATCCCTTACAGTTACCCCCCGGGGTGTCTACAGTGCCTGACCCTGCATGGAGATAGCTCGTGGCTGTTTGAGCAAATGATAAGCGTGATTGAGGATGGTTGTCTCAGGAATTAGCCCCAACCCCAGACCCCTGGCGTTATCCATGGGAAAGCCAGTGCCCTCAGGACCAGCTTGGACAAACCACCTAACCCCGTCCTTCTGCCATGTGGGCATTTCAGCCACTTCTCATCCTTTGGCGGATTCTGAGTATCTTTCTCTTCTCGGCTCGCACTGTGGTGGCTAAGTTTCTCCCATGGGGCACAGGAAGGGAAGGGATTGAGGGCCCTAAGTGATTGAGGCCTGAACTGCCAGGTGGCCTGAGAGTGAAGTTTAAGTTTGCCGATAGTGGAGATGAGATGGTAATCTTCTGAAATGCACCAGCCTGACAAAGACAGTTTCTCGTTACTCCATTTCATGAACTGATAGGAGTACGTCCAGTTATGCCTTTAGTGACGCCGGCGGGGGCGGGCCAGATGATCAAGGGGATGGTGTCTCTGTTCCATTTTACAGCACCTCCCCGGAAGTCACAGGTCTCCTTCATCACTTTCTGTTTTCTTCCTTCCTTATCCTTCTCCATAAGGGGTGGGTGACTTACCCGTTAGACTTGGATTCTGGAGTTTCTGAAAGAATGTCCTCTCTGCCTCACCTCTGCTGGGTGACCTCAGGAAACTCCTGAGGTCTCAAGAGACTTCCCTGAAGGCAGAGCAGCTGCAGCCTTTCTTGCGGACAGGAGGACAGAAGGGCAGCATTAGGTCCAAGGTGAGGGTGGCTTGCCTCCCCTTTCCCCAGCCTCACCCACAGTGGAACCTGGGGACACCACAGTCACTTAGTATCTTGAAGGGGATAGCTGTAGCACGAAAAGAGAGCTCCACCAGAGACCTTGGTGGCTGTGTCTTGCCTGGCTCGGTGGCTGAATTGCTACAAGGATGTAGGTTAATAGAAGCCTGCTGAATTAGTGTGTGCTGAGCCCATCACCCCTGTGAGATAGGACTTCTCTTATACCCATTACACAGATGAGAAAAATGCCCTGAAGCTTTCGGCCAGAGGTGTGTCATTTGGGGAGAGGGGACTGAGGTGGGACCTGGGCCACCAGCTGGTGAGCAGCAACAACGTGGCTTTGACAACCCAGGAGCTGCCACTTTGTGACTGTCCCTCCCATCCCCAGCCCGATTCCAGCACCCATGCTCTTGATACCTAGGTTTTATAGGAAGCCCTCAGAGCTCATCTGGCACAGAAAGGAGGTGTCCATGTCCTAGTGAGCGCCGTGTCCCACAGGGCAGGGGCCCCTGACTGGCCTTCTTGTAGAGCCCCCAGGACCTGGTACTGACCCACCAGGAGAACTCTAGAATCCTTCTGTGTGCTCCACCCAGCTCTGGTATGAGTCTGGGAGAAAAGTGATCATTTGCCAACCAGTTTGTCTTCTGGGTAATTTTGAGTTTCTATCTGTCCTATTTGTGATGAGAATAAAGGGATATATAAACTCCCAGGCCCCAGATAGACCATGAGTGGAAAATATACTCTGTTCCTCAAAGCATCCTGCTGAGCCTGGAGGAAATGGACCTCAAGCATATGCAAAGTAGGGGGCTTTGGGGACTCTGGCCCTCAGTCCATCTCCTGCCTGTTATGGGCCTGTTCCGGGCCAGACACCAGGCCGTGACTTCCACATTCTGTGTTTTCTGTAACCCTTGCAACAACTGTGTGAGGTAGGCATTAGTTATAGATGAGGGACTGACTGAGTCAGAGAGCCAAGTGCATTCACAGGTCCAGCAGGTTGCAGAGCTGGGGTTGAACTTGGTGGTGACCCCAGAGGACAAGAGCCTGGAACGGTGTGTGGGCTCCAGCCCCACTGAGCAGGAGGCTCCCCAGAGCCCAGGGATGAGCATCCAATGCTGCATGCAGATGCTCGTGCTGCCTGATCCCACAGATGCTTGTTTTCTCTGTCGTGGGATCTGCTCGTCTGCAGGGGCCTCTAGGTTCTGGGCCAGCTGGCCAGGCACAGCCCACCTTGGAGTTGAAGTAAACATTGCCAGAAGACAGAACCCGTCTCTCTTTGGCCCCAGCTGCCCCCCATTTTCACTTGTCTGCCACCTGCAGCCTCTGATTTATTGGTCAGGCCTTTTAATGCCTTAATTGGTTTTAACGAAGTTTCCTCTAAACCTCCAAGCTGTTTGATATAAATAGAGGTCACCAGCTTTCGGGGTGTGGGCCCCTCCTCTGCCCTTTGGCTCTCCCAGGTCTAATTAAACCTATCCGTTGTCACCTAGCTAACGATATTACCGACACTGAGCCCTATTAAATCAGCAGGCCTGCCCACCTGCAAGGATAGAAGCCATTTCTCTTTATTAGCTAATCATGCCTTTGTGAAGAACATGGCCATTTGCAGATTAAGTACTAGTGGCTGCACATAGTTGAGCGAGGGACTTCCACTCCCTGCTCTGTCCTTCATTAGCCGTGTGACCTGGGGTAAGTCCTCTCGCACCTCCAAGACTCCGTGCCTCAACTGCGCAACCCGCAGAATCGGGAAGTGGGGCTTCCTAGCCTCAGTTTTGCTTCAGCCTAATGCGGGCTCAGTCCCAGCCTGTACCCTGCCTGGCCCCCCTCGGCTTCCCCGGGTGACCAAGTCTTCCCAACCCTCGCCAGGTACTCAGCGGCCCCGCATACTGGGAGCTTGGGATGGACTGGGCAAGACTGCATAAGCAGCAGATTCAAGTAAATAGTCCCTGTGAAGCCCAGAGGCTAGTCTTTCTCTGCCGCCTGTTCCAGACAGGTTGAAAGGGTGATGCTGGGCCCTCTTGCTTTTCTTTGCAGGTCTTCCATGGGTGGGGGTGAACCGTGGCCCCAAAGAGCTTCTCTCACATGTTATTTTCTATGAAAGCAAAGGAGTTTGGGAGATTGCAGGGGAGAAGGGCTCATCTGTTCTGGCTTCTGTTCTGTAGAAGGGGCTGATTCATGCACTCGAGACCCAGGCAGTTTGGCTCCGGTGGTTCTGGGTCCAGAGAGCCTGCCTGTTTTTCACGGTGACCGAATCCATCTGGCCCCTCGTGGATGCCTAATAAATACTTGTTGAATGAGCAAAGGGTGTTTAGGCTCCTTCACCAGAAGCATCTAGTCCCCAAATAAGATGGAAGTTTCTGCCATGACAGCTCACAGAATCGGGTGGGACCCTGCAAACTTCAGAATCTGTGATAACTCGAGACAGGGACTTGCCTTTTGTGTGTTTGTTTTTATTGTTAATTTTGAGCTTAAATCAAAACTATTACAAATTACTTAGACCCATTTAAGAGTACCAGTGGCTTTCAAAGATTTTGGAAGTGCCATTTACATGAGGACAGTCGGGGGGTTCTCATCAGTCCCAGGCAGGCCCCAAGGGCTCAAGACTCTGGCTAGGGGTGTTAACCTCAGCGGGGAGGGACACCTCTGTATTTCTCTGCCTCTGGCACCAAACCACAGGAAATGGTCGACAGATGCAATCTTCTCTCTAGGAGGAAAGGGTGAATCATGAGCAAAGTGGTTCATGTAAGGGATTTAGTCCAAAAAGCCACTTCTGAGTTAAGCTGTAATGTCCAGGTACCAATGTGGACTCCTTTGCTTGGGTGCAGGGATTCTGTAGGGTGAGAAGTGAGGGGCTTACTGGCTTGACGAGTGTCTATCAAGTGCCCAGGTCCCTGTTAGGACTTCCTGCCTCTAAACCCAAGTCCAGCAAGGCCCTGACCACGCCCTTGCTGAAGGAGCTGAAGAGGCCAGGATTTCAAGAAAAGAGCTGAAGAAGGGTTTTCTGGCTTAATTTAACCAGAAAATTAAATCCAGCTTGTCCCTACCCGCTTCCTCAAGCTTTCAAGAGCAAGGCCGCTCTTGTTTACTCCTGGGCTGGTAGCACTTTGCACCATGGCTTCCTGGTAGCAGGCGCTCTGTTGCTTGAAGGACCAACATGGGGGAAGTTGGGGTCCAGGTGAGCCGTGGCTGTGGGCTACGCTGGCGGGGAGTAGGCTCACACACCGCCGCCTCTCTTCTCCACCCCCCAGGCAACAGTGCGTTCAAGTCTCCTGATGCATTCAAAGTGTCCCTCCCCCTCCGCACAAACTACCTGTATGGCAAGATCAAGAAGACACTGCCTGAACTATACGCCTTCACCATCTGCCTGTGGCTGCGATCCAGTGCATTGCCGGGCATCGGCACCCCTTTCTCTTATGCAGTGCCCGGGCAGGCCAACGAGATCGTGCTGATAGAGTGGGGCAACAACCCCATTGAGCTGCTCATCAATGACAAGGTGAGGCCTGCTTGGACACCACCTGCCCCCATCACGGCGGCAGTAGTCAGGATGCAGCCGCGTCTGACAGCCGGCCTTCTTGGCGGGCTCTCCTGCAGGGTTCTCCTCCTCGCAGTGGGGACAGCTCTGCACTGACTCAGCCCTGCTCTGGCTGGCTGTCTGGATAGGGGGCAGGGGCAGGAAGCCGTGGCTGGTGGAGATCCGAGCTGAGTCTGGCCTAGAAAGGGGCACAGGCTCCAAGCCAGACGGTGTGGAAGGAACAGAGCTGGGGTCTCTGTGGGCCAGCCTGAATGGTCACAGGCCCTTGGGCCGCTGAGTGAGGGCTGCTCCCTAGGGCCATACTGATTAGGGAAGGGGGGTATGTGTATGTCTCTCTATAGGGTATTTATCAGCCTATCTTTTGGGGGTGGTCTATTGAGGTACAGTTTACAGTAAAACTTAGAGTTTTCAGCCAACAGTCCGACCAGTTTTGACAATTGTGTGACTACCACAATTGAAATATGGAAATGTTTCATTTCTCCCCTCCTCCCCTCACCAAATCTCCTTATTCCCCTTTGTGGTCCGCTCTTGCCCCTACACCAGCCCATGACAACCACTGATCTGTTCTCTGTCCCTACAGTCTTGCTTTTTCCAGAGTAAATATCCCTTTTTAATAGACTGGCTGGTTTCGACATTCAAGAGCGGATCTTCTCAAGAACTCTGCTCTGGGCATCTGCAGGACCTCCAGGAACTCCACTTAAACTTCCATTCTGAAGTCAGACTCAACATAGCCAAAGAAATGTGTCCTCACGTCCTTGCTGGAGCTGAGCGTTTGAGTGACTGTTCCAGCCCCCTGCTGCCTCTGCCCTGGCCCCTTAGTCTGCCGTTACTGAACCATCCTGGGGGTAGTTTAAGTGGTAAATGCTGTGGAATCTCCCCGCTGGGCTCCTTCTGGCGGTGACCATGTCCCCGAGCAGGGATTAATTGTTCTAAATAACGGCCTTGGACACAGCAGGGCCCAGAACCTTGTTTTCCTCTTGGGTTAGGTGGCACGTAAACAGCCAATTCTTGGGAGGAAGCAGCGGGTTGCTAGGATACCAGCAGTAACAACAGGATGGTACCCGGTTGGGCTGGTCTGTAGTGCTCACGGGACTACGTGCAGACAATGTGGGTCAAAATGCCCTTCCTCCGGTTCCATATGGGGGGGGTCCCTGTGTGCACCCCCCAGCACACACACACTCCCACATAATTGTAGGCCTTTGGTCTTCTGCACAGGAACACACACACACACACACACACACACACACAC